AAGGACTGGGGAATTACAGTGAACCTAGACGTGTGATAACAGACGAGGATAGTACGTATGATTAGTTTATAGCAAGTTTAAAATAATAAAGAACCCCCCTGTTGAGCATTCATTTTAACTCCAAAGACTGGGGTTTGAGTTATTTAATTATTCGTACTTATTTCGCGCGACTTTAATTTCGCGATTTTCGCGGTTGTAAAAAAAATCACGAAATTAAATACCCTAGTCTAAAATTTGAATTCTAAATTTCTATATAAATCATAAGCAGCCCAGCAAATGAAAATACAATGACGTAAACTCGGAATCTGCATGTATAATGAGCTACACAAATAAATCACTTGATAGCAAATTGAGACGACCTTTATATGTATTTTTAAGCGTTTAATGCATTTTTACCCATTTTGCTGGGCTGCCTATGGATAAATTACAGTTCATATGTCGACATAAATAACAAATCATTTGATAGCAGTCTTAGTATTAAGCTACAGGTTGCATTTTGTCTTGTTATCGGCAATAAACGGATGAGTAAAAACATTGCGGACTACTGTCCAGACAGTACCTCATGTTGACTTGTTTCAAAAGTTGTAGTTCAGATTTTTATTAAAAAATAATATATTGTTCAGAAAGCTTTCGTGAGTATTTTCGCCAGAGCAACCAATAGCTATGCATTTTACCATTGTGTAATATCCCGACTGGGTAATTAAACCAACACACTGCTATTTGTTGATTGGGCGAAAGAACAATACACATGGGTAATGAGGTATACTATGTCTGCATTGAATTCCCTGACCTTCTTATTAAATTGACTATTCTGTAGAGGAAAACTTATACTGATTTTATCTTCCCATCTTATCTAGTCCCGTCGGAGGCGCCACTTGGCGTTCAATGTAACCACAACGGCTCGACAAGTCTGAGAATAGAATGGTCAATTTTACCCGTGGTGAAAGCACATGGCATAGTCAGAACGTATGTGATATTCCTGGAACGAAGCGATGGTCGTCACGTGGAACTCTACAATGATACACAACCTTATACTTCATTTACTACAATTTTTCTTGGCTTGGATGAGAACGTGGAGTACAGCGTGCAAACTCTTGCAACAACTATCAAGGGCGAAGGACCGAAGAGTGATCCGATCACGTGTGTGACAGATGAGGATGGTAAGTGTGGTAATGTTGTTGTGGTTAGTGTGTGTGTCTTTCATCTCTGTGGCCACGATTCAATTCCTCTAATATGTTCATAGCTTTACCTCAGTCGCATGTGAGAAGAGTGCTTCCAGTTTGACACTATCAAATACCCCAAGTCTCTGGGTATTTCGGTTTCGTCTTATGGTAACTCTTGGCCATTAAGGCCTTTACTGTACTTCTAGGGAGAACAGTTTAGAACTGATAGAGCTATCCAGTATACATAAAGTTAGTTTAGGTTTCTTCCTGTAGTAACACTGGATCAATAAGAGATGATCCTTACTGGACCTCTAGGAAAAACAGTTTAGAAATGATAGAGCTATTCAGTATAAATAAAGTTAGTTTAGTTTGGGTTTCCTCTTGTAGTAACAGTGGATCAATAAGAGATGATCTTTACTGGACCTCTAGGAAGAACAGTTTAGAACTGATAGAGCTACCCAGTATACATAAAGTTAGTTTAGTTTAGGTTTCCTCCTGTAGTAACACTGGATCAATAAGAGATGATCCTTACTGGACCTCTAGGAAGAACAGTTTAGAACTGATAGAGCTATCCAGTATACATAAAGTTAGTTTAGTTTAGGTTTCATCCTGTAGTAACACTGGATCAATAAGAGATGATCCTTACTGGACCTCTAGAAACAACAGTTTAGAACCGATAGAGCTATCCAGTATAAATAAAGTTAGTTTAGTTTGGGTTTCCTCTTGTAGTAACACTGGATCAATAAGAGATGATCTTTACTGGACCTCTAGGAAGAACAGTTTAGAACTGATGGAGCTATCCAGTATACATAAAGTTAGTTTAGTTTAGGTTTCCTCCTGTAGTAACACTGGATCAATAAGAGATGATCCTTACTGGACCTCTAGAAAGAACAGTTTAAAACTGATAGAGCTATCTAGTATAAATAAAGTTAGTTTAGTTTAGTTTAGTTTAGTTTCCTCCTGTACCTCTAGGAGTTAGTTTAGAACTGATTGAGTAAGCCAGCATTTTAAGGTCAGATTAAGGTTTCGAGAATTTATTTTATTTCCATTCCCCCACAGTTCCTCATGGTACGCCACAAGGTCTTTATGGCTTTAACACGAGCGACACGACCATTCAAATTTTCTGGGAAGAAGTTCCTTTTGACGACCAAAATGGCATTATCACTGGCTACACTATATTATTTAATACCACACTAAGAAATGGACATATAAACCATCGCAAAAAACGTGTTGGGAGAAGCGTTCTGCAGACAGAGCTGACCAATTTGTTGCCTTTCCAGTATTATGATATTCAGGTAGCCGCGTGGACCTCCAAGGGCATGGGCCCGAAATGTGATGTCGTTACCATTCTGACGGAAGAAGAATGTATGTTTTTGTTGGATTGGACGTTTATTTCATTGTTGAGTTGTTTTTTTCCACGGAAAACTTACCAATGGACAAATTTGACTAGCGTTTGTTTATGCCCGATTTACGGCTTTAGATAACTTACATGTCTAGTAACTAAAAAATTTATATATTTTTTTATATATAAAAGCTGGTCTACAGTCACGCGTTTTTCATACGCACGGAAAAGTTTAAATCTTTTAAATGTTACTTATGAAAAAACTGGATGAATAAAAGGAAAGCATATAGTTTTGTGAATGATTTAATGCACATTTGTACAGGTAATTCATACTAGTGTTAAATTTAAAAAGATTTAAACTTTTTCGTGCGTGTACGCACGTATGAAAAACGCGTGACTGCAGTGCAGCCTTTAGTCTTTTGCTATAAGGTTGTTGAGCTGAACTGACTTGTTACAAGTTCTTCCAACAACTTGTCATCGTCCTGCAATTCAACAATTTGTCAACAAGTTGTGAGTGACAACCTTGTAGCAACTTGATAAAATAACAGCATTGTTACAACTTGTTGACAAGCTTGCTACAAGCCTGTTGCAAACACATCTTGTTGACAAGTTGTGAGAATTTTACGTGTGTATAATGACATCATTTTCTCACTCTGATAACAGGAGATTGACCACCATCTGCTACACATAGTGTTTAGTGAAACAGCTCAACAGCTGGCCTCTGTAGCTCAGTTGGTTAGAGCGCTGCACCGGAATCGCAGGGCCGTAGGTTCAATTCCTACCAGAGGACCTTGTGCTGCATTTTTCGCAGTCGTTCCTGGTTAGGTCTTAAAATGTATATATTCTCACTTGGATGCCAAACCCTAACATTCTAATTTTAGTGAAACCCAGCTGTAGCTGCAATTATCTTTTTCTAGATCCCAAAATTCCCCCAAGTGATGTAACAGCCTTTAACACGAGTTCTACGTCAATACGTCTGACATGGAGGCCCATCCCCCCAGAGCAAGTGGGCGGCATTCTACGAGGGTACAAAATATTCTGGCAGGAAGTCGACTACCTGGGCAATGTGATTCTGCGAAATGAAACACGGCTGGACAGCGCCTCTTACGATTTCTTAGATTTTACTGGCCTCACAAAGTTTCAAGAATATAGATTTAGTATTTTGGCTTTCACGAAATTTGATGGTGTGCTCAGTCCTAATGTCTCTACAATGACAGACCAAGATAGTAAGCCTTCTATTTGTTAATTTATTCATCTATTCATCTTTTCATTTGTTCATTTATTCCACTCTTTGTTTTGACATATTTGTGACGTTTGGCAGAATAATAAATATTGTTATTCAAAGTTTATTTAGAGGCAATTTATATCGCGTATTTGCGATGAAAAGTGTTCAAAACCTAAAGTCGTTCTGGCGTTCCTCTCAAACTTACTTTATTTTAGCTTTATTTGTTAGTTTATACAATTAATAAGCTTTTTAAATGTGTCTGGCGGTTCAGAAACACAAAGTATGCTTACTGTAAATATACAATTATCATTGTCATTGATGCTGTAAATTAACGCCATATTTGTGCAGCAATATAAGCGAAACTTATACTGAACTTCAGACATCATTTTTCTTTGACGTACTATCTAAAACATCTTCACTTTAGCATAATTTTACAGATAAAGCACTAAACATACTTTTTAAGTTTATTTGCCGCTTGAGAAACGTATAACAAATTTAAAGAATGTAGTCATAACAAGTGGAAAAATATATTTCATTAGTTTTGAGCTCGTGTTACGTAACATACAAAAGATTCTTCTCTTAATCAATTTTTTTAAATCTTATTTACAGTCTCTACCCTTTCTCCAACAAACTGTTCTGGTGTGAACATAAGCAAAAACGCGATTCGTGTTTCCTGGGATGTGGTACCACGCGCAGACCGCAACGGAATAATCCTGGGCTACAACATCTACACAACCGAAGCGTTCAATTATTTTGCCACAATGCCGTCAGACTATATCGCTCCTCAAAAAAGCACAGTTATAAATACGACGGATGAAGCGGCCAGATCATTTATTCAACTTGATCTGGTACCGTATACGGATTATTCATTTCAAATTGATGCGTTTACTTCGAAAGGAAAAGGTCCAAATTGCACTTCGTTCATTGTACGCACGGAAGAGGAAGGTATCCACAGTTTTATTTCGTAAGGAACCGGTCATTATTTATGGTGGACAGTAGCACTGAAGACAAATGTTTTTCTTGATAAAAATTTTGCTGATCCAACTATTAAAAAGTCACAAATTTTTTACCCAACCTCAAATATCAATTCAAAAATAAATACCCACCCCTGGCCAAAAACTTTACAAAAGGATACCATTCAGTTGTCACACATGTCCTTTACCACTTCTGTGACATGAGTTTGATAACTGCTTGTGCAATTTTCTGCAGTCTAAAGTTTCATGTTGTCTGCACATGTACTTTCTTTGGAGACAACATTTGCTTCCTGACCAATCGGAAAATGATCAAGATAGTGACTCTGATTGATTTACGTATTGTATTGACATATGGCTGTTGACATTGCTTTCTAGTCTTCAATATTTGAGTGAGTCATGCTTTGGAAATGACAATAAATTTTTATTACCCAACCCTTGAGTTGTTTTGTTTTTCATTTACCCCCAACCTTTTACTCATTCAAAATTTTGTTTACCCAACCTTTTTCTCTTCGGTGCCACCCCCCACCATAAATAATGAGCGGTCCTATTTGCTGATTTCTTCACTAGTAAGCCCAAGGATACAATCTCTTCTCCATTGTTTATTTCAGCACCACTCTATTCTCCTGGTAATGTCTTGCTACGCAACACCAGCTCTACGTCAATCGAAGTCACGTGGCATGGTCTCGATCAAGACGTTATTCGTGGTATCTTTTATGGATTTAAAATTTGGTTCACTGCTTATCCTGAATTTCCTTCATCCTATCTCAGATACGGTATAAAAATAATCGTTGTTTTCATTTCAATTTATTTATACTGTATAGATTCATAAGTTACACCAGAGTAATAAGAGATGATCCTTACTGGATCTCTAGGAAGAACAGTTTAGAACTGATAGAGATGTCTAGTATAAATAAAGTTAGTTTAGTTTAGGTTTCCTCCTGTAGTAACACTGGATCAATAAGAGATGATTCTTACTGGACCTCAAGGAAGAACAGTTTAGAACTGATAGAGCTATCCAGTATAAATACAATTAGTTTAAGTTCTTTGTACGTTTGCATGGCAATAAAACATATAATAGTTTTGTTTGTGGAAACACCACGTAAATTAATGACAATTTACGTGGTGTTTCCACAAACAAAACTATTATAAAATTAGTTTAGTTTAGGTTTCCTCCTGTAGTAACACTGGATTAATAAGAGACGATCCTTACTGGATCTCTAGGAAGAAGAGTTTAGAACTGATAGAGATGTCTAGTATAAATAAAGTTAGTTTAGTTTAGGTTTCCTCCTGTAGTAACACTGGATTAATAAGAGACGATCCTTACTGGATCTCTAGGAAGAAGAGTTTAGAACTGATAGAGATGTCTAGTATAAATAAAGTTAGTTTAGTTTAGGTTTCCTCCTGTAGTAACACTGGATCAATAAGAGGTGATTCTTACTGGACCTCTAGCGAGAACAGTTTAGAACTGATAGAGCTATCCAGTATAAATAAAGTTAGTTTAGTTTAGGGTTCCTCCTGTATAGTTCAGGAACTGGATCAATAAGAGATGATTCTTACTGGACCTCGTTTAGTTTAGGGTTCCTCCTGTATAGTTCAGGAGAATAGTTCAGAACTGATAGAGCTATGCAGTATAAATAAAGTTAGTTTAGTTTAGGTTTCCTCCTGTAGTAGCACTGGATCAATAAGAGATGATTCTTACTGGACCTCTAGGAAGAACAGTTTAGAACTGATAGAGCTATCCAGTATAAATAAAGTTAGTTTAGTTTAGAAATTTTAAAAATAGAAAAGATAGAAGTAATCGCAAACCATTATTTATTCATGTATAGGAACTGAGGCAAAAAGAAAACGTCGTGCGGTGTTCACATTGGATAAACAAGTAACTACAGCTGGAGTAACAGATGAAACCATTGAAATAACTGCTTTAGCGAAATACACCAACTATACAATACAAGTGATTGGTTATACGAAATTCCTGGGTGCTCAGAGTGAGATCGTGAGAATTATTACTGATGAAGATAGTAAGTCAATATTTTTATATTTCTACTTTGCACCTTCTTCAGTTAAGATTAACATTTCTACAGCACAATTGCGCTTTACATCAAGTATTATACGCTTACCTAATTACATACTTAGCCTAGACTATTTTATCTTTACAACAACTTTCCTAACTGTGTTTATCCTAAGCCACCCTGTCAACTTTTCCTGTGGGAGGAAACCAGAGCACCCGGAGAAAACCCACGACTTTCGGCTACAAGTTGTTCCAACAAGATTAATACAGACTGTTTGTTGTTGTCATCAAATTCTTAACGACTTGTTACATGCAGACGATATCAGACTTGTTGGAACAACTTGTTGCGAGTCTGTTGCCGTCATGATGATAACAAAAAGATAACAACTTGTTCCAGACTTGTCAACAACTGGGAACAAGCAATGCAAACTACCAACTTTCATTAATTCTCGTCAACTTTGAACTGGTTCAAATTTTGATGAGAATTGATGAGAGTTGAGAAAACTCTCATGCAAACTCTCGCTTCTCAACTCTCATAAACTTTCATGTAAACTCTTTAGATTGTTTGTTTAATAAGATTAACACATAGCAGCCAAGAGGCTGAATTGCGTGCTAAATTTTACAAGAGAAATGATTAAATTAGTTATTCTATATTTACAGAAGTTTAAAATTACATTACAATTTATAATTCTATATTACAGAAGTTTAAAGTTACATTACAAATTAGCTATGAAACTAGTAAATTTCTAAAAAAATGTTAGCCAGTCTAAAACTGAATATCAGAATCGATTGTCAGTTAATATTATTGATATGCCTTGCAGATGAAGGGAAAAAACTGTTTCTAAATCTGTTCGTTTTGGTCTGAGGAACAACAAAAGACCTTGAGTGTCTAAGGTCGTAATTTGGAAAGTATCTAGATGGTACATGATTATGCATATTAGCTACTGGTGTTGTGGTGATTTCATTAAACAGTTTCTCGCATGCATCCACACGCCTGTCACTTAATGGTTTGATGCCCGATTTTTGTAAACAATCCGCATAACCTGTCAGTGGATAGATGATTGATAAAACACGCTTTTGAACCCGTTCCAGGGCATTAGATAAGTAGGAAGGAAGGGCGAAGTGGAAAACTTGACAGCTGAATTCCATGACTGGTCTGACGCAGGTAGTGTAAAAATTTATTATGTCAGCTTCAGGTACATGAGCACGTTTCAACTGAATAATAAAATAAATCCGTTTGTTCGCCTTCTTAACTATGTTAGTTATGTGTTGGTTCCATTTTAGATCTTTAGAAATTGTCAAACCTAGGATTCTTGCGTGGTTCACTGTCTCGATTTGGCCTGAGATGATCTTAAGGCGCGGAAATTCTTTCTCAGGTTTTGTAAAACTGATAACAAGTTCCTTGCACTTGGAGGCATTTAATTGCATCTTGTTTTCTACAGACCAATTTTGAACACAATCGACTGTATCTTGAATTTTACTGGGTGTGTTGATGTAAATGATTTCAGATACCGTAGCATCATCGATGTATTTCCATCGCTCATGATGTGGGGGGCGTAGGTCATTTATCATTAGGATGAATAACCAAGGTCCCAATTTGGTTCCTTGAGGGACACCGGAAGGAATGTCAATCCATTCAGACATACAGTCTCTTGCAAGTTTCACCCGTTGTTGCCTGTTCATCAGAAAGTCAATTACCCACCGCTTAATGAAATTTGGCATTGGCAATTGGATGATTTTCGTGGCTAAGATCTTATGATCAATCAAGTCGAAGGCCTTCTTATAGTCAAAAAGAACCACTCTTACAGCGTTTCCAGTTCCATCTGTGGCTTGAGTCCACGCATGAACCATAGAAATTAAGGCTTTTGTAGCAGATGATCGAGGGATGCCACCAAATTGAAAAGGATCAATTGACGACAACACTGCTGGAGCGATATATTTTTCAACAACAAACTCTTCTGCAAGTTTAGACAGAACCGGAGTTAACGAAATAGGTCGGAGCTGTTTGCTTATGTCTTTAACAGGTTTCTCTTTCGGAATAGGTGTAATGTTAGCTTGTTTCCAGCATGAGGGCAGTCTTTTTTGCTTGTAGGACGAATTCAATAAGTCCGATACAGAGGGAGCAAGGATTTCGGCATAATCACGAAGAATCCAATTGGGGATATCATCAGGGCCCGGAGCTTTATGCGGGTTCAAGCTTTTCAGTTTTTTCAAGACCGATGCAGTATTTGTCAAATTCATGTTTACATCTAACGGATAATCAGGAATCTCCTCAAACAAGGTGTTCAAATCTGTAACATTTAAGGGATCATAAGTATTCATTGGTTCTATTAGGCTTTTGTTAATTAAATCTGCAAAACCTTTGTGTGTTAAATGTTCTGTATCTTCGACATGAAGTTGGTTAAGCAAACTGCCAGATACAGGTCTCATACCGGAGATACGTTTAACCTCTGTCCACCAAGATTTGGGGTTAGACTTTTTCAGATTAGCAACTTTTGAAGCAAAATAGTCTGCCCGGCAAGATTTTCTCATTCTATTCACTTTATTTCGGTAGAATTTGAAAAGAGTAGTGTTATTAGATGAAAACGCACGTTGTCGAAACTTGATCAGCTGTTTCAATTTTTCGGTTATCCATGGGTTGTCGTTGCGATGGAATTTAACGTGTTTCTCAGGCATAAGGATGTCATAACCCGTCTTTATTGCGGAGCATAAGATATCACAATTCTTATCGCACGGTTCGGAGGAATCGATAAGTTGCCAGTCAAAGTTACTCAGATATCGACCAAGTTCTTTTTTGCGAAATGTCTCTTTTTATTACTGTCTTTCTACTTGTGGTTTCTGATGATGTTTTAACTTTGGGCTCAATCATTATCACATTATGGTCTGATAATCCGAAAGGAGGGAAAACCATGGCTGGTTGTACATCGTAAAATTTATGCATGTTTGTAAGTATAAGATCCAAAATCTTGGCACCACGAGTTGGTTTATCAACCAATTGTTTTAACTTAAAATCTCGGCAAAGATCTTTAGTGTCAAAGTGGTTAAAATCACCAGCAATAATAATTCCACAGCCTGGAAAAAGACTTTCCAGTAGTGTCAGTGAGTCTGATAGGTATTGAAAAAGATCTGTATTGCTGGAACTTGGAGGATGGTAGACGCACGCAGAAACAATACCGTTAATTCCCCTTGGTAATCTTGGTGGTCTAATGTGTGTCCATAAAACCTCAAAGTCTAAATGTTCAATTTCAGGTAATCGTTTGAAACGGATGGAATTCTTTATGTACATGCAGATACCACCGTGGATACCAGGACTACGATCCCGCTTCACGAGGTGGTAATCAAATAAAGTCGCGTGGGTGTCACAAACGGACTCTCGCAGCCAAGTTTCAGTTATAAAACCCAAATCAAAACTTTGTGCAGAGGTCAAAATACGTAGCTCGTCAAGCTTAGGAACTAGAGACATCACATATATTTATTATATATTTATTATTCAGCAAACTAGCAAAGCCTTTGCTCCGCAAGCCCGCGGATCTATATAGTCTGATCTAGATTCTAATCGAAAAAATCTAATAGAAACGTCGATTACACAATATTGAATATGTTTACCCTTTTCGGAGTAATTAGTATACAGTATACTGTTTTGTACTTTGCTATTCTAAATCAACAATGTACAGTATTTATCTTTAATGGAATTTATGACGCCATCTGCCTGTGTAGTAAATGTCAAAATATTTAACAGCAATTATCGCACTGACCACTGCATGTATATACTTTCTAGCTAAAATTCTAGCAGAGGACGTTTGTGAAAACAATGGCACACCGTTAACTGGAACTCATCAGAAATGTGATTGCCCAACTGGATTTAAAGGATTCGACTGTGGTGAAAAAGGTGACTTTGAATCAGATCAATTTATTGAGAACTTTTAAAGAATAAAGTCCATTATATATGCACTCGTAACTTGCACTAAGAATCTAATACCACATGCACGCAAACTAGCCCACATATACAAGTATTAATAATTGTTATTTTATCAATACATCCAGTTACTGTGTGTGAAGGAAATCCTTGCAGAAACTCTGCAGTGTTTGTGGACAATGATGATGGTACATTCACGTGCAAATGTCAACTCAACTACGAAGGAATTCTGTGCGAGAAAAAGGGTAAAGTTAATGACTATATGTCTATAATTCTATAATATAATAATCCGCAAAATGCTGCTATCATTGCTGGCTAGATTATGTCCAGAAATGTGATTGCTTAAATCTTCCATAGCAAAATATTTTCTGATAACCGCGTTGTGTTTTTCAGTTCGTCCATGTGACAGGCAGCCATGTAAAAATAAAGGCAATTGTTCAGATGATGGTGTAAAATGTTTCAAATGTGAATGTCCTGATGGATTCAAAGGATTTGATTGTTCTAGAAAGGTACAATTATATTATTATCATTTATATGAATGTTATATAATGATAATAATAGAGTATATTATTCTTTTATGGTATGTTGATGGCATGCTTGTGTTCCACAAACCCAAACTTACCTTATTATTCGCCATGCATGCATGCAAAAATACAATCAACTTAATAATAGAGTAATTCACACAAAATTAAAAGAATATAGTGACCAGTGAACTTCGCAATGTATATCAGTATTTGCACTGAAATGCTGATACATATATTGGGAGGCTCTTGTGCATGTAGCTATATATGTTTGTGAATGTAAATAACAACAAATATCAGCATTCCACAATGAAACTCCAAGTAGAGTAATTCAAAATCAACTTAAACCAAAAATTAGTAATAGTTCTTAGTTCACTCGGCGGTGCATACTTACTAGTCAGTACGCTTCGAGTATTTGACTATGAAAAGACTATTCGGAAATTAATACCTAAAAGAATCGATCCTCATATATTTTTAGTCGTCGTTTTTATGAAGCAATAAATTAATCAAATTAATATTTTATTTTTATATAGTTCTACCATGTGAAGTATCCCCCTGCCAAAATGGAGGTGTTTGTTCGAACGAAGAAGATGGAAGTTTCAAATGTACCTGTACAACTGGTTTTACAGGTTTGGTGTGTACTAGGAAAGGTAATTGTCTATGTTAACTTTACAAATAACAAGTAGTAGTGTGGACACCGATTTAGCTTTCTCCTCCGCAGAGCCTCCTTTTAATACTTAAAAGTATTTACAAATAACTTGCATGAAGTTCCCTGAATAAAAGTGAGCGCGCGCGGTGTGATGGGAAGATTGAAATGAAGCCGAGAAGGCTCTGCCACATAATGCTAAAAGGTATGGTTTTTGAACCAAACTTTTGTTTGACACTTTTTTAAACTTGAAATGGCATGGATGGAAATATGGAAGAAATTTAAATGTTCATAATCTGAGTATCGAAGGTCGGTGAAGTCATTTTTATAACGAAATGGTTGCAATTTAGAGGATATTTCCATTTATATTAACTTGCAATTTCTCAATATATTTCTGTGCAAATGAAAGAAAATATTGATATTCGATTCATTCCATTAGACTTGAGTACGCCTGAAAAGGAAAGCGGAAAACCTGTTTTAACACCCTCGAAGGTTGATATCGAACTGAGCTCCAAACGATTATACGACGCCATATTGATTGCATTAACTAGCAGAGGCTTCCTTTAGTTCGCTCTTCCCATCTCTCCTTCTGCGCTCACTTTTCCCTCGCTGGAAACTTCACGTAAGCCTCTGCGGAGAAGAGACCCGATTTTACCTACACTCGTTATTAATTACACTTAAATTCCTCGTCAATCATGCAGAGATCATCACGGGCCCGTCTGCGCTTGTCTGCCATAGACAGCTTTGTCCTTTTTTAATTAAAGCAAATCACGTGTAGTTCACAACAATCTATAGCTATTTTAACTATATCTAGTTATCTAACATACTAAATTTCATTTCACATATATAGAGACTCTATTCGCTTCTACTGTACTGGAAGGTAACAGCGAGTGGATTGATCAACTTCAGCAATGGCTGCCGTCACAGCTACAGGAGAAGAAAATGAAACTTTGCTACAGAGCTTCAGATAATGGTTGGGCATCCAGCACTTTCCACCAGTTCTGCGATAACAAAGGACCCACCGTTGTTTTGGTGAAAGTTGGAAAGTATGTTTTCGGTGGATATGCTGCTGCAGCATGGGGAGGTAAGTCCTAATCATCCAAAACATTGATATCTTAATTTACGACCCTTTTCTAGTATCCAAATTGTATGTTCGTGTATTTGGAAGTTTCCTACAACAAATTATTGACGAATATAGCTATTTAAATTAATGTTGAAATTTGTCAAGCAACGGAAAACGTTTCTTTAACAACCTTATCTATACCCTGGTTTTGTTGATATTGACCTAATTAATTATTAACAGTGTGGCAGGCAGTACAAATACTCAAGTCGCGAAACTAATTTATTCGTAGCTATAAGCCTTTAAAAAGCACTCGTGGTTGTAATAGAGTTGTGATAACTGACTAATAGCATGCACTTCCATTATTGAAGTACTGTTTAATAAACTCGCAGGTCGTGTTTTATTAGGTATAAAGCCACTCGCGCTGCGCGCTCGTGGCTTTAAACCTAATAAAACACTCCTGCTCGTTTATTAAACGGCTTCAAACACGACTACAAATTCAATAGATATACTGCCTTACTAGTATTCTTTATATAAAGAATACTAATGAGGACACGACTACAATAGATACTGCCTTATTAGTATTAATATATTCTTTATATAAAGAATACTATAATTAGGAGTGTTTTATCAGGTTTAAAGCCACTGCACGTGACATATGGTTGAAATACTTGTATGGGACTTGCAAGGCTGTTTATGTGACGTCTGTAATTAATCATTCATATTTCATTAAATGCAAAGCTCATAATTAATAAAATGTTTTGTGGGTTTGGAATATGTAATATTGATAAGTATACCCTAGTTGGACTATTATAGTATTGGAACCACTCAAAACAGAAAGGAAGAAAGCTAAGGCAAAGTGTTGAATAAAATGGGTCCCAAATTACTTACTAATATTTTTTCATACAAAAGCGAGAAAACAAATTACAACCTTCGGGAAATTTCAATTGATTTTAGTTTACCAAATCCGCGCACTATAACAATATGAAAAATAGTTTGATGTATATGACGGAGCATGCCTTTGGAATTCTATTCTAAATAGAAATTGGAATTCTATTCCAAAGGAAATTAGGGAAAGCAAAACTCTTTCTTCCTAAGCTTTTGAAATAAAATCTCTGCTCACATCAGTGACATACAGTAGAATAATAAGTAAATAATTATGTGCCTGTAAATATCCTAATGTTCGTATCGCGATCTAAATGATTCGGTATTTGCCTTAATTCTTTTAAATAGCTCTTAATATCATTCTTTATGGAATTTTTTTCTATTTTTGCACACGCCCCTCGTGGAAATCCGCTTCGGTTGACGGGGTCAGCGTGTACAAATAAAGTTTTTATCTACCGGGTAGCATCCCATGCATTTGGGTTATATATATATATATATATACACACACTTGACTATTGCTTGTTGCTGTACCGTATCTCTGACTGTAGCTGAGACAATAGTTGATTGATTAATTTTTATCCTGCTATTTCTTTTAGGTTCAGCTCGTTACATAAAAGCCGATACATCCTTCATTTTCTCCTTCTCCAATAGAGACTACCTTGAACTTTTTAAATCCCTAGTCTACCAAAACAACGCGAATGCGATGTATACCAATAACGGTTATGGCCCTACATTCGGAGGTGGTCATGATATTTACATTGCTAACAACGCTAATAGTGGAACTTCCTACACCAACTTCGGTCACACCTACAAACCCCCCTCCGATTATAAGTATACCACAAATGCAGCCAAACGGTTGTTGGCAGGATCCTACAACTTCACTCCTAGTGATGTTGAAGTTTATTATTTTGCCAACAGCAAGTAGTTTTCTAGGACAGATGGTCGTGTCTGTCGAAATACTGTGTGTTTGGTATCTGTTACATAAAGTTCGTAAATTAAAATTTGGTTATGTAAGACATATATGTAAAGGTTATGTAGAACATGTAAGGTTGTATGGAAAACCTGTAAAATTACTAAAATGTGTGTGCGCCTCCAAACATGTAAAGTAAAAAAAAAACACACTGAAATAAAAAGAATACTTTTGTATTGGTATATAGTTTAATGGTGCGTGACTTAAGTTTGCAGTATTACAATGCGCGCAATTTGATCGGCTAATATATGCCTACAATGCATTGTAATTTGTAAGAAAACAACGCCCTGTGCATGTTGAACAAACAATAACACATCTAGTTGGAATCTACAACGGTCTGTGCCTGTGTAGGTAGTGCCAATAATAACAAAACATTCGTTGTTTGGGATGCAACTACCTGAGAAATACAAGAAGAAATTAAAAAAAAATGCCTGGTATTTTCAGGTATGTGCAATAATATTTATTTATTTACATGAAAATACTATAGTATTGAAAAAGAAGCGGGCTGGGAGTCTATTTGAAACCATTCGGCTTTTTTGTGTAGACCTATCCCTATCGAATATATATATTTACAGGTATCGTAGGAGCTGTTTACATGTTGGAAGGCGGTTAAAATGTGTCGCTATAGGCTCAACGAAAGTTCAAATGTTGTTAATAGAACTCGAATGTTATAAAGAGGATCTTGTAGTTCACAAATCTGATTATTATTACTGCTTGAACAATCTTTCGTTTACAGTTCTATCTCTAGAAAATAGTGTAGTTTTTTGCTGAATCGTGCACTGTGACTAATTTCAATACATCAAACTAATCCTGCCTCAAATCTCGTCCTGGTTAAGGTCCACACAGATCAGACGCGATTCGGCAACGCGACGCGAATTTTCAGTTTTCAAAAACCAATAAAACCGTCAACGGGTAAACATTTTACAAGATATGCGGACCAAATAGCTAAAATTGCTTAAGTGGTCCCGGATATTTGAAAAACATTGAAAAATATTAAAGTTAAATGACATTGAAAACTGAAAATTCGCGTCGCGTTGCCGAATCGCATCCGGTCTGTATGGACCTTAAAGCGGGATCATATAAAGAGCCCCTTATTCAGCAAATTGGGCATGCTGCCTTTGATGATTTGATCCCTTCGGAGTGAGGCAGCACTTTCCTTGCGATAGTAACTTCTAGTTTTTAAGTAATTAAGTAAACCAGTCCAAAGTCAATATTACAGTCGATTTCACGAAACTTTGACCACAATTGTTCCGAACTTCGTTGCGATGTTCGCAAGTTCGCTGCGAAGTTCAAAAGATTATGTATCTCGTTGTTGGATACAAAATAATTTCAAAATATTTCTGGTAAATTTTGTATCCGTTGTAGTATCTAAACATAAACAAGACGCCTCCTCAGGCGTTCACACTGGCCTCAAAATGACAGAACATGGAAATTTTCACCCAGCCTGGTGCATGTAAAGAAATGTAAAAAAGTTTTTGATTAATACAAGTATTACTCATAAATACAAAATAGGATAAATACAAAATCCACAGAAAAACGCGGTAAAATTCGTTGACGAATGATGAAATTGTTTAATAAAGACTGAAATAGTCACTCATTGAATGGCCGCCATTTTGAAAACTGATCTATAGTTAACTGAAACCCTGGAAACTGAGCCTGTGGTGCGCTTACGCAAACCATTGAACTAAATAAAACCATTGAATAAAACTGGAAGGCTAAGTCAGGGGGGGGTTGAAGCCGTGCTTGAAGCTTTCTTTGTAGGTAGACCCAGTCCTTTTTTCAAATATGCACATATTTTAATCGGATGAATCTTGCCCCAAAATACTAGTTATATCACCGAATTAAATTTACATCAGTAGTATGATAAACGAATTTAATATTCGCAAACCAAACAAATCACAAACTAGCAAAAAAATACGAAAAAACACGACCATAAGAATGGACGATCAGAACGAACCGCGCATTTTAGGTTCAGAGCTTTTGGAAGTTTAAGATGAAACTAAGAGGTGAAACCACAGGAATTATTTAAACCCGTGTAAAATACATCTGAATGCGAAGTTTCAAGAAGATTAAACGTTTTAGGGTTGAAAAAAATGCATTTAAAATTGACAAAAAATATTGCCATATTCAAGGTGCTCATAATGGCCAACAAAAAGATGCGATGACGAAAATAACATCACTTGAAAAACGTCAATTTATTCATGTTTTAGAAGGAATAAACTAGGCTCAGGGTAAATAACAATACATGGGGTTTAGTACAAAATACGGTTTGGGAAATACTCTAAAAATGTTTTATAATATTGAAAAGAAGAGCGAAGTTTCCTTCTCCAAACGTTCGTCATTTTTTCATGATACAAAAGCAAAACTCCTCACTTTTTGCTGCAGACGGAGATGAAAAACAGTCGGAATTCGGATTAATCGAAAAACCAGGTTTGAATCCCAATCATTATAGCACAGATTAAGAGGACCTCTTAATCTGTGATTATAGTATTCCCATGGAAAAAGTGTTTTTCTTGCAAATTTTTGCTCAAAAACAAATTTTTCTGAACGAATTTTTTCACTCCTCGAAACTTTCCTTAGTCCTGTGGGAAATGTTTTCACACGCAAATAAAGTTTTCTCTGTTCATATTTACTTCAAAACTCTTACAAAATAAACTCAAAACCTAAACATGCCCGCCATGTGTTTTCCTGTCCCATCGTTCATTGGGGCCCGTACACCACAGTCACCCAAACCGGAAACTCCAGATTAAACACAAATCAATAGATTTTCAACACCCTCCCCCTTTCTTAGCTGATCAGACTAAGAAACATTTAACTGTTTAATTGTCCTTAGAGTCTGCAATATCACTTATTATCTGTCCGATCTTCTCTGACGCCCTTGTTTTCGCCGCTCTTGATTTTCTTGGCTCAAATGCTTTCGCCTTTGGATTCAATACCTTCGATTGCTGTGATTTAGTTGGTGCACTTGCCACCTCCAACGGGTATAGATGTTGAAGTGATCTTTCCTTTCTTCCATTACCAGTTTTAAGTATGGCACCTCGAACAACTCCGTCCTTTCCAGCAATCAATTTCTCAACTACTCCCATTTTCCACAGTCCTCTGTTCTTTTCTTACCTTGTAGAAGCCTAACATCACCAATTCGTATTACGTATTCTGAAGTCCATCGTTTCCACATTACATCCTTATTCCTTACACCGTTTTAAATATCTGGCCCGCTTAACCATTGCCTTGACTTTGTCTTGTTTGTCTGTATCGTCCTCAGGTAGGCTGATGTTAGCACCATGGATCATTCCATTTGGAGTCGAAGGTTGAAGTTCGATATCATTGTCCAAGTATCCTAACGGTCGATTTTTCAAGGTTATTTCAACTTCTAACAGTACCTCTTTCAGTTGCTTGAAGGTAATATTTTCATTGCCAATAGCTTTCCTGAACGCGTTCTTCATGAGCCCCATCATTCGCTCGAAAAACCCGTTTCACGTCGAGCGAGGTAATCGTTCACGAGTTGACTACGTTTGAGTAACCACTTTGCACTAATAATCGTCGCTGGTCGACCTCTCCGTGCTACAAATTCCGCGAGATTTCCTTTTAACTCTTCCGCTGTCATACCTGGAAGGAGGTCAAGGTGTACAGCTCGAGATGTAGCACATGTGTACAATGCCACGTAGCATTTCCCTTGAACACTCTTCTTGATCTTGTATGAAATCGGGCCTGCGAAGTCCAACCCTACTGTTTCAAATGCCCGATTGCCCGTTGTGAGGAATTCTGGTAACGGCCCTTGCGTTGGTTATGGTAGTGGTCTTGCTCTATACCTTACACATGTATTGTACTTGTGTAGCACCGACTTGACCAAGCATCTTAGCTTCTCGATCCACCATTTCTGTCGAATTTTGGCCATCGTTAGCCCTACTCCTCCGTGGAGACTACGTTCGTGGGCATCAGAAACCACGAGACTCGAGAAGCGATGATTTCTCTAGCTTGGAAGGTAGACTGGATGCTCCCCGATTATCCGTCCTTTGCGCCGTAGTACTCCCTTTTCATCTGCTTCCAAACCCAACCGGCTTAGATGCGATTGCTGAATTGTTTTCTTCTTTGGTTGCTTCTTCCTGAACGACTTTTATCCAGAAAGTTTCAGCATGGTTAATCTCATTGGTAGTCAGAACGCCTTTCGTTTTTTCCCGCTTCGTTGTGTTAGACACGAATCTGAAAATCCATGCAACAATACACAAAACCTTCCAGAGGTTCCATTTCACAAGAAGATATAGGATCGTTCAAATTGTTCTCTTTCATAACAATTGTGTGTAATTTCTGTACGGTTACTCTATGTTCTTCGCAAACCTCCTTGGTTTTCTTTAGAGTTATATCGGTTGGCCACTTGTTCTCGTCAGCTAACCATGTCGGTCCTGTCCACCATGTAGAATCTCTCAGCTGTTGGATATTTGCGCCTCGGCTACCGATGTCTACAGGATTTTGGGTGGTTGGACAATGTTGCCAGATTAACTCCTTCTGTTGTATTTTTGCAACTCGGTTGGACACGAACTGTTTCCAATCACGGTCTTTATTCTTAATCCAATAGAGGGCCACTGTGCTGTCTAGCCATCCGTAAGCACCAAAGATATTGTATCCACAGGGGCGGATCCAGCATTTTGGATGAGAGGTTTACTAGGTCCACACAACCACTAGGGGGTCCGGGGGCATGCACCCCCGGGAAATTTTTAAAATTTGGGCCTCTGAAACAGCAGCATTTCCTGCGTTCTGGCGTCACCTTTTAAATTAATTTAATGGTTAGAAAATACATGTTTTTAAGAGAATTTTGGACTAATACGCAGCTCAAACAATGAATTGAACCTTTTCGGAAACTTATTAGCTGGTGATAAAAATATAGGATTGGCAAATTGCTGACGCATCGATATTTATTATAAGTACAACAAGGAGAGATGCTTTTAATATAAACATAGTTGTAATTTTAGATCTATACACTTTCAAACCAACCGCTTTAACAATGAAATAGAAACCAAACTGCAAGAGCGTGAAAGCTTCACAATTATTTCCTGATTCTCTATCGCGAACGCAATAGCAATGATACGGTCACGCAATATTATACACATATTTCGCGCTGTCATGAGTGTAGACTGTGCAGAAGTTACACGTATAAACATCGATACGCTTGTTGACGGATCGATATTTATTATACAGTAAGTAGAAATAGCTTACAGTTATAACTTTAGACTATATACTTTTAAACAAACCTTCAAAATGAACAAGAAATCCATCTAAATGCTTCTATCGCCAACGCAATTTTCAGTCACGCAAAATTATAAACATACTTCGCGCGTCCTCGAGTTCTGTCAACTTTCATTCCCGGTTTTCTCTAAATACTGCTCGACTCACAGGTTTGTGACCGGTTTACATCCGGCGGAGCGCAGCCGTTTAGCCAATCGAATGGCGTATCGACCGGTTTACTCTCATTGCGAAAACTCTGACTACCGGTTTACTCATAATTGCGGGCGGTTATGTGTGATTCATGCTGCCTCCTCCGCAGGCTCCTCTATATAGATCAAATTTAAATATCGGTAATATATAGATCAGCGCGTGCACTGCAAGCCCGATAAAGACGCACGCCTTTACGAGGGAGGAGCCTGCCAAATCCTGTGTCGAAACTGTGCAAATGTGATCGAAACTGTGCAAATGTGATCGAAACTACGAAAGTAGGGTTTTTTTAGGCGATGGAGGAATCACTTGACGACAGTGGACCGTTAATGAGTTTAGAAGACTTCCAGTTTGATGATAGTGATGATTTAGTAGCTTCTTTCAGCTTCTTTTAGAAGCTTCTCAATGCCGTCCGTATTATTTGATTTCCGTATAAACATATGACGGGAAGATTAAATATTAAAGAACTCCGCGAATATTTGCAGTAGAAATACGAAAATACCACCAAAAAATTCCGCTTGAAAGAAACTATATACTCGAACAATGTAAATGGCCATAAAATATAAACTAGCGATACTCGAACAATGTAAACTAGCCATACCATACCATACCTATAATATACAATATACTCGAACAATGTAAACAATGTATCACTAAGCCAAACCTTTCGCCGAATATAACTTCGGCTCCTTTCAACGTATCTTTTCGTATTAGTCTTGTTCGAATCACAATCCAACACACTATTTAGAGTGTTATTTTCAAGCATGTATCTGCAAATTTGTATCTTTTATTTCGGTATTTAAAAGTATCTAAATTTCAGCCGGTGGCACGCGCGTGCGAGTAGAAACCTGATATTTTGTAAAATTCAAAATAAATATTTCTGCTCGTCGTATTCAAACGAAACTTTCTACATAAAATCGCTTGAATACAAGGAGTATTTACTGCTATTGACTTGGGCGAATTCTGAAGAGTTTAGAAGATATTCAAGTTTTTCTCGATATGAAATAAGAATGTTTGGCCAAGCACAAGCGGCCCAATCTCACAAGGGTCAGTATAGACTTATAGTATAAATGTATATTATATTAATGTATATTATAGTAAAAATATGTCGTAAAATATAAATTTTAAAATGAAATTGACTTGCCTATTTGATAGTGTGTGTTCTCCTTTTATTCCTCCTTTGTTGGACTAATATTTTCCGAGACTTTGTACTCGATGTTACTAGTATACATGAAACATGATAAAGGCTAACGATTCCCGATCGTCGATACGACAGCACGGCACTTCGAATCGAAAATTTTCACACTCAAATCGCTTTATTCTCAAAAAAAATTCGCCAGCATGTACAACAAATGCCGTTCTTCGAAAATACGGAGGTACTTCGGCGAGATGCACAAGTTTTGGACCATATTTTAACAATGGAAATCAAAACCCATTTTATATTGAACTTACCCGGACCGAAAATTACTACGGCGAACGTCTGCGCAACCAGGCCTCCTTCACCGTTGGATTTACAGGGGGGGAGATGCCACTAATATATTAACGATAATATTTCGAATTAAAGTATCATATTCTACCATACTTTCCAACAAAGAGCCGCTGTATGTTACTTCTTCCTTAAAGTGTATATGCAAGGAAAAATGAAAAATTTTAAATTTCGAAATTTGGAAAGAAATGACCTCCCTTAACTAGGTAAAAATATTTTTAGTTAGTAAAAGCGCTCTAAAAGTATTGAAAATGACCTAAAATGTACGACAAATACAGCTATTTTGAATCGTTACCTGATGAAAAGACTGGTACCGAAAATTCCGGCCTTGTGACGTATGCAGTGTGACACATCCAAGTGTTTACTTGAATAAAAACTACAAAATATCACTAATCGCAAGACAGTAGCTTGTATATTTTTCCTTAAAAACGCAAAAAATGTCCGATAGCGAAAGCTTTGAATCACAGACAGATACAGAACAGCCAACAGATAACGAGGACGTTGTTGAGCCACAATCGTCTGTTGTACAGCCCTATCAGTTCGAGCCAGTTGCTGATAGTGACTAATGACTATGAGGAAGACGAAACAAGCGAAGACGGTCTTGAGGCGAGATTTACGAAAACCGTAGCTGTTAGTTCATGGTAAGTTTAACAAAGCAGTCTAATATCAAAGCGTTTCTCGAATTATTTATTAGCGTGTTTCGTTTAACATGTGAATTGATTTTAGGTGCACATTTGAGATTCTTGAATGTATGGCCAAATTTACGTACGATGGAAAAGACGCTGAATGTATTATATAGCACTGGGACTATCCTGTTATTACACACCGAACACTCGAACAGTATATTACCGCAAATCAACAAGCAGAACTCAAGACGGGCAAAATGAATAAGTCAAATTAATTTCACTAAATTTTGGTCAGTTTTCATCAGTATTTTCTATAAACGTGTATTTTAATCTATCTATTGCTTTGAAACAGTGCATTCGTGAAGGTAATAACTTAGTCTCAGTGTTCCATTGTTAATGTTTAGATACTTTGATACCTTCGTGCAGTGGCGTATATCGGTGGATAGTGAGATGCATGGATATTCGGCGTTATTCGCCATGCTCGGATGGGAAAACTCTAGACCGCTTCCAGCATGCCTGTATAATGAAATCTGGAAGAGGTATCCGTCTCAAAGCAACACTGGATATAAATAATCACAGCAGAGAACTGAGAACGTGATAAAAAGTGTACACTTTGTTACGTAAACTGATATTGTAAATTATAAGTATAAATTAACCTAGTCAAATAAATGGTTCTTCACTCGGACTCTGTCGCGTGAGTATGATCGACTAAGAAGTATATATAGAGCGCTCCGGCCTCGGTGGTTAATACGCCTGTTGTGAAAACATAATTTCTTGACTGATAAGGCCAGAAAGGAATTAAATTAATTACGGCCCAGAATAGTATTCATTTGACGCAGCTAGTACACAACCAGTGACTAAGGAATAAATTGCGCGCAAACAGTATATAGATACGGCACGTTTCAGCAAACGCAAATAGACGAAAACATGACATACTTGAAGCGTAAACAAGCAACGAGCTTAACTGTGGTATGACGTGCGAACTGAGGTACTTTAGTACTTATATTCCTAATAGTTTATTGCGTTCTTGGTATACTCAACTTCGTTTACTTCAATTAATTTCATTTCGCCTATTCTGTCATAGTACGGACTGTATAAATTCTAGCTATATCCAACTATCTACAATGGACTATATACAACGAAAATATCTACAATATGCCACAACTAACGACATCTGAAACCTACACTGCTACTACAACATTGATTTCGCATTTCGGCGGCTTATAAGCGATAAATCGTCGTATGGTGATATCATTGCATTGATTTACCAATGTATCACATCTACATAAGGCAGATTTATTTGGATTTTGTTTAAATTATCAAAAAATCCCAATTCAACGCAGTTGAAGCTACATTGTTTATAGTATTTACAGATAGGAAGAGTGCACTGTGTCACACTGCATACGTCATCATGACCTCTTGGCCGCGCGAGGATTTCATCAGCTAAAATTTTCGTAGCCCAACTTTAAACGCAAAATTCACAAACTTCTGGTTCGAAGTATTCAACAAGGTTGGTATTAAAATGATCAGAAAAGATGAAATTTTCAGATAATGCAAAAATCACAAAATTGAAATTTTCATTGCATATACACTTTAAATTTCGTCAATCTCCGTCGTTTAATTTTCTTTTCTTCGACAACATCTCGAGTTTTGTACAGTATCCGATCGAAGGAGTTTTTATTTTGAATATCAAATTTCAAATAATGCAAACAGTCGCTACGCGGCCGCGATTGGCTGGTTGTTACCGGAAATATCTGCTTCCCCCCCTGTAAATCCAACGGTGAAGGAGGCCTGGTTGCGCAGACGTTCGCCGTAGTAATTTTCGGTCCGGGTAAGTTCAATATAAAATGGGTTTTGATTTCCATTGTTAAAATATGGTCCAAAACTTGTGCATCTCGCCGAAGTACCTCCGTATTTTCGAAGAACGGCATTTGTTGTACATGCTGGCGAATTTTTTTTGAGAATAAAGCGATTTGAGTGTGAAAATTTTCGATTCGAAGTGCCGTGCTGTCGTATCGACGATCGGGAATCGTTAGCCTTTATCATGTTTCATGTATACTAGTAACATCGAGTACAAAGTCTCGGAAAATATTAGTCCAACAAAGGAGGAATAAAAGGAGAACACACACTATCAAATAGGCAAGTCAATTTCATTTTAAAATTCATATTTTACGACATATTTTTACTATAATATACATTAATATAATATACATTTATACTATAAGTCTATACTGACCCTTGAGAGATTGGGCCGCCTTTGGGCCAAGCGGCAAGTAAATATACGATTGTTTTGGTCTGTGTCATGTTAGGGACCGGTCATTATTTATGGAAGGGGGGGAGGGAAAAAATAAGGGGGGCCATATGTAGAAATAAATGACAAGAACGGGGGGCTATTAAATTTTTTCAAGAAAATGATGGGGGGGGGTTGCAATTAAATTTGAAGGAATTTGCTTAATAACCTGGTATCCATTTGGTTGTAAATGTTGCCACTAAATCATGGTCACTGATGTGAAATAGTCTGGATTCATCTTGTCTTGTGTGTGCTGTATGCAAATCAGATTTACGGTTTGCAGACTAGTTAAATTGACAATGTATTATTACATCAGCTCTTGATGTGGTTAAATACATTTAAATTAAGCAAGGTTAACGGCGGATGTATTATGCAGGCCACATCTGCTGAGGGGAGTCTGTGACGTCATATCGATCAAAGGGGGTTGTTTCATGCCTTGTGATCAGTGCTTCGGTCTG